TTTTTCTGCATCAATTGAGAGAATCATGTGGTCTTTGTTTTTTAATTTGTTTATGTGATGAATTATATTTATAGATTTATGTATGTTGAACCATCCTTGAGATCCTGGGATAAAACCTACTTGGTCGTGGTGTGTGATTTGTTTGATGTGTTGCTGGATTCTGTTGGTTAGGATCTTGTTGAATATTTTGATTGTCTGGATCTGAGTCACATGTCAAACCTTCTTGCCAGAGGGTGGGGCAAGTCCCAACTGAAATAGCTGAAGTGGAGGTAGTATACTAAAGAGAGCTGGTCAGGCAAAACCCACAGCACCTTCTACCCAATATCCCATCTTGGCCTATAACTCACAAAGAAGAAAGGAACTCTTTCTAAGGCCAAAAATCCTTCTATGGGGTGGAAGTACCTATTTCCCTCCTTAATCTAAACATCAAGCTCAGCAAGTCTATAGGGGCATATAAAAGTATAAAGGCCACAGAAACAAAATTGAAAATAAAATTTATGGCCCTTTTTCAAACCAATATCCTAGAGCTGACCAAGACAGCCAACCAGATGGGTTTCCTTAAATTTCAGGAGAAATTTAATGGGCACTTATATTAAATCACACACATGGAGGGAGAATCTGGTCATTTTTTAGTTCCCCCTGGGAACAAATGAAGAATGTCTCGAAGATATTACTTGAGATAGAGAAACAAGATGTATTTGCCAATAATCAGCTCACCTCTTCCATATTTTTGCTAATCTTGTTGAAGCCCATTTATTACAGTCCTCAGGATTTCTCAGCAGGTCCATTATTGCTGCTGAAAAGTTCTGAGGAAGCAGTTTCTCTGGCTTAGAGATTCAGGTCATGGAGCAAATATCTGAGTCAGATTCTCATCAAGGATGTCCCATTATCTCCCTACCTCTTTTAAAAAACTTTTCCTTGCATTTATTTTATGCTGAAACTATTCCCATGTCACAAAGTTTTGTTTCTTCATGTTCTCCTGAGGTATCTTTTTCTTCTGTGCAAACTTCCGGTTTAGGACCAGTTGCTTTTTAGTAAAGATCATCTCATGTAACAGGGGAGCTCATGGATGGGTTACAGAATGCAGCCTGGATCTGCCCACTGACCAGAAACTCTATATCTAAGCCCTTCTTCAGCTCAGCATCACTCTCTGCATTTTTTTTTTTTTATTGAGTGGTAACTATGTACATTAATGCACTTCTGGGGTACAGTGTGGGGTTTTCACATGCAATCCGAAATACTTTCATCAAACTGGTCAACACAGCCTTCATGTCATTTTCTCAGTTATTGTTTTAAAACGTTCACATTCTACTCTTAAAAAGATTCACTTGTACCCCTATAAGATAAACCTCAGAAGTGATCCCTCCAAACCCCCTCCCTCTACCCATTTCCCCCTCCCACTCTCTGCATTTTTAAACATATGTGGTAAACATTCAGCACTTTTTCAGGACCACTGACTCTGTGCCTACCCCCACTGTTGACCTGGGCACACCTACCAACTCTAGCATGTAATTGGAATGACACATATTGCTCAAGTAAAGGGACACTTTTTAGATAATCAGTGGCTTTTCAAATATGCATACCCTTGATGACCTGACAGTTTCACCAGTGTTCTTAAAGTGAATACAGGATTTAAGCCTCTTGACTTGCATACTTTTGGGGGATTTTCTGGGTCAAGTGAATAGCCAACTCCTTTCACAGAGCACCTCAGGCCATGTTTGGGAAGAGTACCCATTCTCCTTTCATGTAGTGATTCTCCTTTGGTTGGATGGAATGGGGAACACAGTAACAGCTTTCCACAGACCCAATTATGCCTGCACACCACACACCCCTCCACAGAACAGAGGGAAGACCATAAATAGGACAGACCTTTGCTCAGAAATCTCCATGAAGTAGGGGCTAACCTTCCACTGTGGAATTCCCTGTTGATTGTCCACTCGACATCTCTTCTCTATTTTTTCTTTCTAGCCCAACTCCAATTGTGTCTGGATGGCAATGGCCTAAGCAATAAGAAATGAGTCTCTTCACCAGCTATTGAGAGGTAGAAGAAAAGCATATGACCAGTTCTGGCCAGTGAAAGACAAGGGTAAGTCTTCTAAGAAATTACGGAGTTATTTCCCATCCTGAATAGAGAGGGGTCATGGAAGGAAAGGTTGTTTTTTTGCTATCCCCTTTTCTCTAGTTTATCAGCAAATTCAGTCAGAACTGCTGTGAGGAGCTGCAACTATCATAGACCAGAGAATCTCAGAAAGGTCAACTTAGAGCTGCTGACCGATCATGCAGTGGCCTGGCACTCTGCTTCCTGTTAGGATAGATAGCCATACTGTTTAAGATGTTCTTATATTCTGTTACTTGGCTGGTCAAAGCTATTAGTACCAATAGCTACACTCACTATTGCCCTTCTTGCTTGAGACAGAACCAGGATATGATGCCAGGCCAGTGCCCTGTCCAATCTACTTACTCAGAATTCCACTTTATTTTTTTTTATTAAATCATAGCTGTGTACATTAATACAATCATGGGGGACAATGTGCTGGTTCTATATACAATTAGAAATGTTTTCATCAAACTGGTTAACATAGCCTTAAGGCATTTTTTTAGTTATTGTGTTAAGACATTTATATTCTACACTTAGTAAATTTCACATGTACCCTTGTAAGATGCACCGTAGGTGTGGTCCTACCAATTATTCTCCCTCCACCCATCCTCCCCCCTCCCCTCCCTCTCCCCTTTCCCCTTCTTCAAGGGCTATAACTGGGTTGGAGCTTTCATATGAAACCTATAAATTGGTTTTATAGTAAGGCTGAGTACAATGGATACCTTTTCTTCCATTCTTGAGATACTTTTCTAAGAAGAATATGTTCCAGTTCCATCCATGTAAACATGTAAGAGGTAAAATCTCCATCTTCCTTTAAGGTTGCATAATATTCCATGGGGTACATATACCACAATTTATTGATCCATTCATGGGTCGATGGGCACTTGGGCTTCTTTCATGACTTGGAAATTATGAATTGGGCTGCAATAATCATTCTGGTACGTATATCTTTGTTACAATGTGATTTTTGGTCTTGTGGATATATACCTAGTAGAGGAATTGTAGGATCGAATGGCAGGATTATTTTTAGATCTCTAAGTATTCTCTAAACACCTTTCCAAAAGAAATGTATTAGTTTGCATTCCCATCAGCAATGCAGAAGTGTTCCCTTTTCTCCACATCCATGCCAACATCTCTGATTTTGGGATTTTGGGATATGGGCTAATCTTATTGGAGTTAGATGATATCTCAAAGTAGTTTTGATTTGCATTTCTCTGATGATTAAGGATGATGAGCATTTTTTTCGTGTGCCTGTAGGCCATGCACCTGTCTTCTTCAGAGAAGTTTCTCTTCAAGTCCCTTGCCCACCCTGCAATGGGATCACTTGTTCTTTTCTTGCTAATATGTTTGAGTTCTCTGTGGATTCTGGTTTTAATAACCAGAATAACCTTTGTCAGAGACCTAACCTGCAAATATCTTCTCCCATTATGAGGGCTGTCTTCTTGCTTTACTTACTGTGTTCTTAGCTGTGCAAAAGCTTTTTAGTTTGATCAGGTCCCAGTAGTATATTTTTGATGTTATTTAAATTGCCTGGGGGATCCTCCTTGTAAAATATTCACCCAGGAAGATTTCATCAAGAGTTTTCCTTCTAGTATTACTTCTAGTATTTTTATAGTTTCATGTCTTAAATTTAAATCTTTACTCCAATCTATCTTAGTTAATGGTGAGAGGTGTGGGTCCAGTTTCAGTCTTCTACTCATCACCAGCCAGTTCACCCAGCACCACTTGTGAAATAGGGAATCTTTTCCCCACTACTTTTTAAGTAGCTTGTTCAGATCAAATAATGGTAAGTAGCTGAGTTCATCTCTTGGTTCTTTATTCTGTTCCATACATCTACCTCTCTGTTTTTGTGCCAATACCATGCTGTTTGATCACGATTGATTTATAGTATAGTCTGAGGTCTGGTAGTGTGATTCCTCCTGCTTTGTTTGTATTTCTGAGTAATGTCTTGGCTATTTGAGGTTTTTTCTGATTCCATATAAAACAAAGTATTAGTTTTTCAAGATCTTTAAAGTATGACAGCGGATCTTTAATAGAGATTGCATTAAAATTGTATATTGCCTTGGGTATTATGGACATTTTAACAATGTTGATTCTTCCCAGCCATGAGCATGGCATGTTTTTCCATTTGTTAACATCTTCAGGTATTTCTTTTCTTAGAGTTTCATAGTTCTCTTTATAGAGATCTTTCACGTCTTTCATTTGGTAAACTCCCAGATATTTCATCTTCTTTGGCACTACTGTGAAAGGAATAGAGTCCTTGACTGTTTTTTCAGCATGACTATTGTTGGTATATAAAAAGGCTACAGATTTATGAGTGTTGATTTTGTAACCTGAGATGCTGCTGTATTCCTTGAT